GCTTCACAACGCCTTGCAGGAATACCTCAACAAGAAGAAGGACACACCCAGAGTGCCCGACCTTCGCTTCTCAGAAGACACGCCTGGAGCACGAACGTTTTCCAATACCTCAGAAAGTCACCGTCGGTCAGGTTCTGAACGCCATGACGACTTCTTGAACACAAAGGGGTATGGCTCACAAAACACTCCATTTTCGTTAGCTTCAGTCGACACAAATGGGACCAATCCAGTGGTATCAGAAGCGCTCGCAGTGCAGATGTACCCACACCAGAACTCGTCCCTATTGATGATAGATCATTCGACGAAACCCTCCGAGTCGCCAGACGAGACTCAATCAGAGGCGGAGGAAGATCTGGATGTGCCAATGCCGACTGATTCCTCGGAGGACATTCCAACCACACCTCCTCAGCCAAAGTTTTCTCTTGATGATGTCGACTCTCCTCTTCGAAACCCCCGAGCGCCTCCCGAGCCACCTAACCATCCACCAGTCATCAACTTTATCCCTGCCACCCCATCAGGAACGACTCCAGCTCATGAGAAAATGGCCCAAATGGGTAACTACTTTGAGTCAATGAACGAAAAACCCCCTCGTCGTCCTTCTGTGGTACGCCGTGCTTTCAATCGTACACGACGCCACTCGGTTGATTATACACCGTCAGCTCGAAGACCTTCGAGCTTCTTGTCGCGCACTCTGTCCCTTTCGCGCACTGGGAGGATCAGAGGAATGCCCACTATGGAACGTGAACCAGCGTATCTTGGCTATGACGACAGCCCCGTGGAGGAAAACAAATTGCACCCTTTTTGGCGCCCTCAGTGGTCTAGCGAGGACTCAGACGAGTGCGATGGATACTGTGAAGATGACTGTGATTTGCACTGGTCGGATGAACTCGGTGAACAGACTTACCAATATCCTCCGGTAGACAACCGACCGAAAGGACCTCAGAGAAGCTTCAGTTCCAGGATGAAGCGCACATTTGCCGTCCTCCCGCCTCGTGATGGCTCCTACTACACCAGCTATGATTGGCCCACCACTGAGCGTCGCACTATTGGGCGAACTCCAAGTGGTAACCTCCGAGTCATGAGACATCGGTCCAGTCTCGAATCTCTACGACGAAACTACAACGATGACGAGAGGCCACATTCGGCGGATGGCGAAGTCAAGAGATCATTCTGGCGAGCCAATAACATCCACAGGCGTGCTAATAAAGAAAAGAGAAGGCTTTCCTTGGGAAGCAAATTAGAGGAGTTGCAGAACCTCCCGCGCAAATTCAGCGAGAGGCGGCGTGAGAAGCGATCACAAGAGCTTCGCAAGAAGATAAGCGGGCCAAAGGAAGTTCGTGATGGAGTTGGAGAAGTCATCAGATCGAGCGCAGCTCGCGATCATTACAAGCCTCTCGATAGGACCTGAACACGCTGAGCAACTGATTGGGTTTACTGGTGCAGATGGCATTCTTGGTGTACCAGGGAGGCAAACAATTTCCACTGCTCGTTGCAGGAGATATAAGACAAGGTTCATGACTGATGATTCACGCTTTACGACACGAATGATGGAGGATTATGAAAATGATATTGCTTATGATTTGCTATCTGGGATTTGTTTTTGAAGAGATTCTATATGGGAGTTGGTTGGAGGATACTATGACATTGAAGAGAGTAACTCTCATGTATGATAATTACCAATACACACGCATACACAATATTTGCCTGACTGACGCAGCAGTAACAGGACCATGTATTCCTATAACTATACCATAAACCAAAATTGATAGACACCCGGTGCTCATTTCGTGCTCGGGAGGCCCACCTCTTGTCAAAGAAAACATTTACCTCGCAGTATCTCCAACAGGGAGTCCTTTCCATTTTCCCAGTTCTTGTCTAACGCCCAGTTCGCCAATGATGCTATGGTTATAATCAGCCCAAACTCATCCTTGTCATAAAGATGACACTCATCGCTTCTCATGTCCGGGGGCTCCGGCTCCGGGAGGAGCAAATCCGTGTGGTGGAAATCCTTGGCCAGGCGGAGGCATGCCAGACATGCCAGGAAAAGGAGGAGGGGCACCGCCGGAAGCACCAGGTCCTCCTGGAGCGCCCGGAGGAGGGAACGGGAAGCCGCCTGGAGGAGGAGGAAACGGAAGACCGTTAGGAGGTACGGGCATGCCATTGGGCCCAGGGAATGGGGGCATGGGGGGCATGCCTCGACCACCGCCAGGAGGGGCTGGATATTGTCAGAAATTATTTTGTCCTTGAGGGAAAAGGATGTTCTTACGAGGCAGTCCTTGGGGGAATTGTCCAGGAGGCGCACCTGGCATCCCCGGGAAAGGCGGAGGAGGGATACCTATTCATGTGTAAGTACTCCTGATGCCTAATTATCATGGGATCTTGTTTCTTACCACCTGGGAATGCGAAGGGAGGGGGAAGAAAGCCCTGTCCAGGTTGATTTTGAGGAAGCATAGGATTTGCATGTGCTTGGCCTTCAGCAGCATAAGAAGAGGTGATGGAGTCGATGACGGATTGAGCCTTCTCGTGGCCGATTTCTGTGAAGGACGTCAGTTTCATACTATAACACGACCTACGGACCCGGACACACGTTGGTAATAGTCAACTACGTTTCGTAAATGGTTTCGGCCACTGTTATGAGCCTTGCGCACGCTCATGGAATCGTGCGTGAGGTAGACATCGCAATAATCGCCTGGGAGCAAGTTGTCAGTTGGAGAGGGCCTTTGTTGATTCGGGCGCACGAGGGACGGGGCTTACAGAAGACTGTAATATGCGTTAGCGAATGTTTCTTCTTGGAGATATGTAGTTGTTTAGGGGGCGGGCTTACACTTGGGCATCTTGGAAACCTGTGCGATCGCTCTTGTTGAGGTAATCAGCCGGTGATAGTGCTGGTTTGTGTTTAGACTGTAATGCTCAGGCGCGAAAACGGACTGAAGTTGACGAGGCTGGACCCACACGTGATGGAGGCTACAAGGCAAGCGCCATATTCATATAATTGGTCGCGAGTTAAACTTAGGGGTGTCTCCCGCATGTGGGGCACAGCTCAACTGGGACACCTTTCAGTTTAGACCCAAGTTCAGGTGGAAGCCCCTTGTCTGTCTTCAAGAACTACTTTACGTAGCCTTTCCTCTCCGACTTACCATCCACGATACGATAGAATACGATTATTGGAGAGGGAGATCAAATCCTACAAAGTGTTTGACCGCGGCAATGGCTCTCCAACAGAAATTGGTGCAGTATATCTGCAGCGTTCTGCTGCTTGTTAGCGCTGCCAGTGCTCTGAAGTTCGACCTGATCGCACAAGCAGAGAGCTCAAAGAGGGAACGCTGTGTGCGCAACTTTGTCGGAAAAGACACCCTTGTCGTGGTGACAGCGACTGTCGATGGCTACAAGGGTGATGGCATGTTGGTGAATCTCTACGTACGTTGCGCACAGATAGATTACGAGTTACAAAGCAAAACTGACATAGCTTTACAGATCCGAGATGCCGTTGGCAACGAGTACGGTCGACCCAGAGACGTTGTCGGGGAATCCAGGACCGTCTTTACATCACATGCTGACGCTGCCTTTGATGTTTGTTTTGAAAATATTGTTACTGGTTGTATGTGATGGTCCCTGACCGTAGCATGTTTGGTGTTTTCGTTGCATGCTCCGCTCTAATCTATTGTTTAACATGCTGACAATTCTTCAGCCCAGCGAATCAACAACCCTACCCGCCATGTTGAGCTCGATATCGACATCGGCGCCGACGCCAAGGACTGGTCCGCCATCCAGGCCACCGAGAAGCTCAAGCCTGTTGAGGCCGAGCTCCGCCGCATCGAGGAAATCACTGGCGAGCTTGTCACCGAGATGGAGTACCTCCGTGCCCGAGAGCAAAAGCTTCGAGATACCAACGAGAGCACCAACAACCGTGTTAAGTGGTTCGGTATCGCCACCACTTGGTTGCTTATTGGTCTCTGGGCCTGGCAGATCATGTATCTCCGTGCCTACTTTCGATCAAAGCATCTTATTTGAGAGACTGGTATTATATGCGTGTCAACTATTGGGTCCGCAGCCTCCTTCGAGCCTCGAACAGCCGGCCATTCGGGTTCTGAAGACCTGTTCAGAAGACCTGTTCAGGGCATTGGAGCTACCTATATGATCGTGTCCCTCTGTCTTGATTTCGACTGGCCATGCTAGTGGTTTCCGGGCAGGCTTGCGTTGGAATCCGTAGCATGTAGGATTGGGATTGGGAAGACAAGGTTTAGGCCTTGGCAATTTCGGGTCTCTGTTTTGAAGAGTCATGTGTAACAAAAGTCATGGAAAGAGCAATAATTTTACGTACGTACATGAGGTATTGAGCCAACAGAACTGCTCACGACTCAATGACTCAAGGTTGTGAGGTCTGTTCAGTCGAGTAAAACCTATCAATGTTTCGACCAGACAGTAGGCAACACAGCAACAAGCTTAGGCACCATGGAAAATGAGCCTGTGGCGAATGCATGCTTCTCTAAGCGTTTACGCCATTAATTGTGTACTTTCTTTACCAAGGCTTTTCAGCTGGCATCCGTGCAGCTAGTTTCAAGCCGCAATTAAGACCGTCAACTACAATAACTCAACCTACCGTAATAAAGCCTTGCCAGCTATAGAGTCATATCTGTTCAAACTCTTTTAAGCTCTGGAGATCTGGGTATATCGTCTGAGGCCAACTTAATACTTTTTGTTTATTTTTCAGTTTTTCCAGAAATGATTAAAAATTGACAAATGACCTTCACATATCTAATGCAGTCAACAAAAATGGCCATCCCACAGGAACCTAGGATCCATCATCGAGTTTCTAGGTATGCGACACGTACGAGATACCTTACCTGTCTGGGGGCATCATTCTGATTGGTGCGCTGTCATTTATCCCATATCTGAGGAAGGTGCCCCTCCAGACCCACCCACTCCTGCCATTGTCAATTGCAAGACCCCGCGGTGCCTCAACTTGACAAAGAAACGAAACCAACTCGAAACTGCACAGCATGGCGGACCTCAACCCTCCCAAAACCGCCGTTCAGGACCAGGATATCAATCCTTGGTCAGTCGAGGGAGCTCAGGGTGAGAATGGTGAAGTTGCTGCCATTGACTACGACGCCATCTGCTCGTACGTGCTACCCCTCTGACCTGACTATGATGTGACTAACACTTTGGAAACAGGAAGTGGAATACCTCAAAGATCGACCACGCGCTTCTCGAGCGATTCGAACAGGTGACTGGCAAGAAGCCTCATCGCTGGTTACGACGCGGCCTCTTTTTCAGCCACCGCGACTTCGACAAGATCCTTACAAAGTACGAGCACGGCGAGCCCTTCTTCCTCTATACTGGTCGAGGACCTAGTACTGGCAGTCTTCACCTTGGTCACACGATTCCCCTCGAGTTCACAAAGTGGCTGCAGGATGTCTTTGACGTGCCATTGGTTTTCATGTTGACGGATGATGAGAAGGCTTTATTCAAAGACAGCTTGTCATTCGAGGACACCCACAAATACGCTCTGGAGAACGCCAAAGATATCATTGCCCTTGGCTTTGATGAGAAGAAGACCTTCATTTACAGTGATCTCGAGTATCTGAGCCACCACTTCCTTACGAACGCCTATGAGTTTTCCAAGCTGGTGACCTTCAACCAGGTCCGTGGAGCCTTTGGCTTCGACGGGAGGTGCGTCAAATCGTCCGCGTGTCTACTTACCGCAGCACTAACTGGATACAGCGCCAACATCGGCAAGATCTTCTTTCCAGCTGTGCAGTGTAGCGCTGCTTTCGCTACATCCTACCCCGAGATCTGGTCTGATGACCCTTCTCCCGTTCGCACCAAGGCACTGGGCAAGATCCAGTGCCTTATCCCCATGGGCATTGACCAAGACCCCTATTTCAGGCTCATCCGCGACAACGCCCACAGGATGAAGAACCCGTCGCCGAAGCCTGCTTTGATCCATTCCAAATTTCTCACCGCGCTGCAGGGTGCCGGTGGCAAGATGTCATCCTCAAACCCCAACTCAGCCATCTTTATGACCGATACAGCGAAGCAGATCAAGGTAAGGCTGCATGCCACACAATTGAGGTGCAGAAGCTGAAATTATTTACTACAGAACAAGATCAACAAATTTGCCTTCAGTGGTGGCCGCGAGACGCTTGAAGAGCATCGCGAGAAGGGAGGAAACCCCGACGTAGATGTGGCCTACATCTACCTCACTTATTTCGAGGATGACGACGAGAAGCTACAAAAGATCTACGACGACTACAAGAGCGGCACTCTTCTCACTGGAGAGTTGAAGAAGATGGCAATTGAGGCCCTGCAGTCTGTTGTAGATACCTTCCAAGACCGAAGGAAAGCTGTCACCGATGAGGTCCTCAGGTCGTATATGAAGCCTCGAAAACTTCAGTGGGGTGGAAACCCAAGCCCCAAGCCTAAAGAGTCGAAGCCAAAGGGGGAAACGAAGAAAGAGAATGTCGACAACAAGACCGAGTTGCCTGACCGTACTACAGAGAAGTCGGCCTAGACATTATGCTGATGGCAGGTGATTGTCCGTTGTAGAAGAAATAAAGTTATTGTCAAGGATAAAATGGAGTTACGTCTCGCTCTGTACATATATATCAGGTTCTCCTTTTCGCTGTGAAAACTCTTTTTAGTCATTTCTTCATGAATGTATTCCCTATGCAAGTCAACTACCGAACCCTGCTCATAACCTGCTCCCCCGGACCCACCCGCTCCGGGTCAGAAATTATCATTCGGCCGCGGCTTTTGAAGTCTCGGAACCTCGACGTCAACGATAGACAAGCGCTTCTTATTTGCCACTACTCTCCCGATTTATAGTTCTTTGCCGACTTCACAAGACAGCATCGCCCTGCTATATTTCCATCGCCTCATACAACTCTCTCGGAAAAGACAGCCATGACCTCCCTCACTTCGCGCACTATGCGCCCGGCTGCCCTACGCCGCATTGTCTCCATACCCGTTAGACCACTCACCACAACAATCTCACAGCGATCTGATAGTGTCTCATCCTCGGAGCTCAAGGTGGGCGAACTTCAGGGTGCTAAGTTCAGAGTCGAACCCCTACGCCGGGTGGGTGAGGACGACGCTACCAAGCGGGCTCGCCTCGTCTGTACGTTTTCAACTGTCAATTGATCAAAGTGAACTACTGCTGATTCCATCCAATAGACCAGTCGCGAAAACGAGGTACCTTGGAGTCTGATCTTCTTCTATCCACCTTCGCAGCCGCCCATCTGCCCACGTTGTCCCCTGAACTTCTCGACCAGTATGACTTACTCCTTGACGAGAACGACTGGGATATTTACTATTGGGCGACGCAAAAGGAGCAACTGTCCACGACGAACCCTTCGTCCGCCCAGTCACCATCTACCGCTGACATCGACGCAAAGCCTGAGAGCGATCAGATTACCAGGCATCCTCCTTCGGGCGAATGGGCGCAGACTGTGGGCAATTTCAAGCCCGCCTACAGGCCCGTGCCTGCGCGCTGGAAGGACAGTGAAATCCTTGAGAAGTTAAGGGCCCATGTGAGAAGTCGGAGTGTTGACGGTGGCGAGGGTGGTGGTATGGGCTTCATGCCTCCTCTTGAGCCCCCTGAGGTCAAGAACTAGAATTTACATGGAACGCCCAAGAAGAAGTTGGCGAGAGCTGTATTTCGAAGAATATCACGCAAAGTCATTGTACTATACGTCTAGCATCATTTATTATCATGGCCACAGGGCCGAGAATTTTAAATCTCAAGATAGGACCTCCACGTCGCTTGGAGGACCACTGCATACAAGCAGGGAGCGAAATAAGGAGTATGTGGATTCGAGTGAATTTTCAACTCGCTGAACCACGTATGTGTGGGATCTCCTCTGCATGTTGGCAACTAACAAAGCAAGTATAACCAATCTTTCCAAACTCCTCATGCCCCCAACCTAGTTCGCAAACTCCGTGGGATATCGCCTCGTGACCTCAGCCCTAGAACAAATGCAAAACAAAACGAAACCACCAAACAAAGAATAAAAAACGGCGCAACAAGTGACTGAGGGCCATGACAAGAAAGCAACGGGGATGAAGAAGCGGGGGGCGAAGAAGAAGAAGAAGAAGAAGAAGAAGAAGAAGAAGAAGGGGCGCATAATCTTGTCTTTTCTTGTCTCGTCTCGTCATCAATATCATAGGCTGAAGAAAAGGGGGTCATGAATAAAAACAGAGGGTATCAAGCCGTTCGTTCCAAATTCAAGGTGTTGCACCTTCACCCACCTCCTTCAGGCAGAATGTTCCCTAGACTCCTCAGAACTTCAATAACCGGCATGTCCCTTGTTCCCACACTCGCCTTCTCTCGCTCCTCACGTTGTCGAAGACGAAGGGCGCTCACATTGAGAACCTTATCCGCTTCCTTGCCCGCGACCACAACCCGCTGCTCGAGCTTGTGAACGTTATCGGCAAGTTCGTCAATCTGAAACTCGAGTGACGACTGAATACTGCGCAGTCTTGATTCTGTCTTTAACCTAACAGAATCGAACGATGCTTTCTCGTCTGCAAGGAAGCCTCTGATTTTGCCTTCTTCCGAGTCCAAGAGATCAAAGTCGGGCAGAACAAGAGGTCCGATCTCGTCTTCAGGGAAAAGAGGTGGTTGCTCCGGTGGAGGTTTCCGTATTGCTTGCCACGCTCTCTTCTCATCTTGTAATCTACGAGGAGGTTAGTCTGGAGTCCAGTCGGTTGCCTAAATAGATATACCTCTTGATGTTGATTTCAAGCTGAGCCAATTTCTCGTCCAACTCCATGTTTCTAGGATTGGGTTTCATCACTACAGGCGCCTTTGGGGCATCGTCCTCCCGGCTAAACCAGTCCGAGAATTCGGACCTGGCCGCAAAGTCTTTCAATAGCTGATCCTGAATGGCACGAGCTATTTATAGTCAGTATTCAAGCATGACATGCATCATCTGAAAATGGTACTCACCACCGAGAATGGCGTTAGAATTCGGTGTGCCATGAGGAGGCTTCCCTGACAGCGCGCGCTCGCCACACCACGTTAACAACTGCTTCATACGTCGAGGTTCTGTCAGGCCTTCGGCTTCAATGTGTTTATAGAAATCCGCAGGGTTGACCTCTCGATGAGGTATTGCTGTTTGTCCACTCTCAATCAGAGAGCTCGCCCTTCTTCCACGGTTACCAAGGCTGCTCCGCCTGTTGGAGCTGCCCCCTTTCTTTCGCATCTCTTTATTCCGGTTAATAATGGGCGTGTCGCTCATAGGCAGCGCGATCGTGGCCGACTGTGCAGGCAGTTCACGCTGCGGTGACTTGTCCCAATCCGGGGGCGGTCGAGTAGACTTTGCACGGGTCCCCCGTTTCTTGGACGTTCCGTTGACATTGGGAGCCGGTGTCGGTGCAGGTACTACCTCTGGTTGGGGCCCGGAATCCGGTTCTGGTGCTGACGCTGCTTGAGGAACTACTTCATCCTGTGAGTCCCCCGACCTTCGTGTACTCCTCCTAGTCGATGGTCTTTTAGGGACATTAGTTTGTCGCCCTTCTGACGCGTCGACACTTGCTTTTCGTCTACTATTCCTTCTTGTCGCAGGTTTCGTCGTAGCGTTCATTTCGCTCTCTGTAGGTGTCTCCTCCGCAATGATTCCATTTGTTGTTGGCACTTTAGCAGCGCGTTGCTTCGGAGGTCGTCCCTTGGCATTTTTCTTGACCGGCTCTGCCTTTGACTCTGGCTCTGGCCTTGGTTTTGATTCATCTGACTTATCCGTCTTAAGTCGTTTCGATTTTCGAACAAATGCGAAATCATCGTCATGCTCATAATCTGTCGCCGCCGCTGCATTTCGACGGTCAGCGGGTCGTCTCTTGTGGGTGCCATCGCCTTCGTCATCAATCAACTTACCAGCGAGACGCTTACTCAATCGTCGCCCGTGCTCGTTGCTCATGCTAATTACTTGTAGCGGCCGCCGAGTCGTCACCAGAGTCGTCATGGGTGGCGCATTCGGGACCGTCGACGATGCGATTTTTTTTTTTTAATTCTGAGGTCGTGATGCTGGGGAGTTGTCGGTGCAGTGCGGCACTGATGAGGATGCTGAAACTGTCGCGGAGGGTCGAAAAGGCGCGTCGCGTCGCGATTCTCGTGTACTGGCTGCTTAAAAATGCTGTATAAAAGGCTCAGATGCTATCGCAATGCAATTCGTGACGGTTCAATCTGTTTATGGCTTCATAGATGGTGATGGGTGGTTCGCGACGTGGATGTTACTGTTTAAGCGCATCGCCTTGTTTACATGAGAGATGATTTGGTTGTTCAACGCTAGACCCAATTGGGCTGCTGCCAGACCCCACCTTGAAATCCTCTTACCCATAGGTAGGTTCACCATGAGCCAGTGGAGCAAAATCAAATAACGTCAATGCCCCCAACTCGAACAGCTTGGTACGACGGTTATGAATCATCAAGCTGGCTCTATGTTCCAAACATGGATCAAAAGGACATCTCAACAATCGCCGTGCCGCCACTAATAGCATCTTCAATAACAGCCTCACGTCTCAATTGGCTTCTAAAAGCTACCACTCAAGTGATGCTACTACCCAGTGTGAAGCAAATAATGGAATATCACCGGTGAAACGACATCATAGTATATACTCTTCGTGTTCATAGTGCAACTATCAATCATCTCAATCGTAGCTTGTGTTGCTTGCAGCTACGTATAAAATCTCAAAACCAAAACACCAAAGAATTTGATCTCCAGGAGCCGAATTCCCCAAAACGCCCTCCACCCAAGTTGGCAAAAAGGTCAACTTGGCCAAACACCTTTTTGAACTGCGCGTTCCGTGTACCTTGCTGGGAAATACTTTACGTACAAGTTAAAAGTTGTAACGGCGCTGCCTCTAGTAAGAAACGCTCAAGAGAGAGCGGCCTCCTCGCGCAAAACAAGAGCGTCGAGTGATCTCCAAGTGAAGCTCAACAAACTCCTGGTCTCAGACATCGCCTCCGTCTGGATGCTATGTTGCCTCCGATCAAATGTTGTACAGCTCAAATGTGAAATGAAGTTGTGAGCCGATAGGCCTCCGGTGGAATAAACCTAAACCTTGTATATGCATATAATAAATAATTACCTCGGTGAGGTCGTATGGTGTCGTGATTGAGGAAAGAAGGGGTCGTCAAGTCCATGCATTATGTGGTTCGATGGAGAAGCGTGGTCAAGTTGCTCAACCTTGTCATACTGTCCTAACTGGGGCTGTAACTCGTTCTATGAGAAACGCCGCTGGACACCCTGGCCAGCCATAACTTGCTGGTTTGGCATAGGTGCTGCCATGCCATAAGGGTTAATCTGAGGGTTGAAAGGCTCAACAACCTGGGACAAAAAGGCACTGTGTATCCCCTGCTGCTGAGTAACTGGGCAGTCCTTGTGGGCAAGAAGAAGCGTCTTCAAATTGACGACCTCTTCCCTAAGTTGTGTTATCTGCGCCGTCAAGGCGTCGTTCTCAGTACTGAACATTTCGACCTTGGTCTGTAAGTTGGCCAACCATTGCTTCTTTCGC